ATGAATAAGGAAGACTGAAGAAGAGTTGATGCTTTTGAGTTGTGGTGCTGGCGAAGAATGCTGAAAGTACCATGGACTGCTAAAAGACCGTACAGATCTGTCCTGGGGGAAGTGCACCCGATATGCTCCTTGGAAGCGAGAACGGCCAGCTTTGTCTCACCTATTTTGGTCATGTTGTCAGAAGGGACCATTCCCTGAAAAAGGATACCATGCTTGGTAGGGTGGAGGGTCGACAAAGGAGGGAGAGGCCTTCAACGAGACAGATTGACATGGTGGCTGCGATGATGGGCTGAAGTATAGCAGGGATCGTGGAGCTGGTGTGGGATCAGGCAGTGTTTTGTTCTGCTGTGCATGGGGTCGCTGTGCGTTGGAAACGACTCGACGGCACCTAACAACAACAACAACAACATATCTGGCAAGGGACATCTCTAAGATTGATAGAAAACTCCAACGCCTCAACACCAAAGGAATTAACAATCCATTTGAAAAATGGGCAGAAGACATGAATAGACACTTCACCAAGGAGGATATTCAGGTGGTCAGCTAATACATGAAAGATGCTCACAATCATTGGTCATCAGAGAGATGTAAATCAAAATAACAATGAGATATACCATCTCACCCCAGCACTGATGGCAAGATTCAATGAGACAGAAAATAACAAATCCTAGTAGAGATGTGGAGAGATTGGGACTCTCATACACTGCTTGTGTGACCATGAGTGACACAACCACTGTGGAAAGCAATATGGAGATTCCTTAGAAAGTTGGAATTGGAGATACCATTTGACCCAGCAATCCTATTATTAGGTATATATCCTAGGGAGGTGAGAGCCAGGATAGGAACAGACACATGCACACTCATGTTCATCACAGCACTATTTACAATAGCAAAAAGATGGAAACAACCTACGTGCCCATCAGAAGAGTGGATGACCAAACTATGGTACATACACATACTGGAATGCTATGCAGCACTAAAGAATAATGTAGAGTCTGCAAAACACCACATAATATGGATGAACTTGGAGGACATTATGCTGAGTGAAATAAGTCAGTCACAGAAGCACAAATATAGTATTAGTTTGTTGTTGTAGAGGGTCAAGGAAAGGTTTATGTATGGAGGGAAACTTCTTTGTTGGTTGCCAGGGGTGGTAGGGAAGGGGAGGGAACACTGCAAAAGAAAGAAAAAAAAAATGCATTGACCCGTGTCACTTTAGTTTTGTGTATTTCACTGTGCATAAATTATATTTCAATAAAATGCATTAAAAAAACACATTAGTGATGTTCCTAATGTGTTTCATTTAAATTGAAATAGCGCTAATAAAAGTTTAACTGAAAAGTAAGAATCCTGCAACTCCCTAAAAAAGAGTGACAATCTAATATTTTTTTTTTCAATAAATACAACTAGGTATATAAGAAATGAAGTTAATATACACAAGGATAAAGTCTTTGGATTCTGTGATTAGGTTATTTAGGATAATATATGTGTGGTAATTTACACACTATTTCCTTCTGAATTATTTCTCAAGTCATTTTTTAATTTCAAATAGCCCATGCAGTCATTCCTGCTTAATTGTTAGAAATAAGGCCTTGTCAATTATAGACTTGACATTCATTAATGTCACAAATATGTATCTAGCTCTTACTAAGCGGCAAGTACTACTTTAAGGTCTAAGCTACAACTGAGAGAACACACAAGGCCACAGTCTTGTGCTACTTGGCTTCACAGTATTTGCAAACCTCATGCTACTCCACTTTTGAGAAGAATTTTTAAAAATTAGCCAATCCTTAAATTGCTCTCTTCACTTGGCTTCTGGAACACATCGGTTCCTGATTTTCCTCCTCCCTCACTGCCTGCTCCTTCTTGGTCTTTGCTGACTTCTCCTTCTCATTCCCACTATTCTAAATGTTCGAGTGGCACAGATCTCAGTTTTAGGCCTTCTTCTGTAGCTTTCCCACTTGCTCCAAGATGTCATTCAAACCCATGACTTTAAATACTACTTAAGGCTTATGCAGCACACTCCCAGTTCTATGTCCAGTTTTGACTTGACCTCCTTTCAACACGAGTGTCCTATACATTTGCCTAGATCAGCATCTACAATTCCATTTAGGAGTCTAATGAGCATCTTCAAGGTCATACATCTCCCTTTAATAAGTACTGTATCTTGAAATTCACATGTCCAAAAAATTCTTTAGATTTTCCCCAGCAAATCAATTACCCCAACCTTCTTCCACCCAGGGGCAGCCCCCTGATACTCCTCTTCCTGTCCCACCCCACACCCAATCTACCCACACCACCCCCATAGTTCTTGCTAGCACTACTGCAGTCACCAAATCTCCGTCTCCTCCTTAGAGCTCTAGAACAGAGTCAAAAAGTCGTGTATCTCCACAGCAATTGGTATGATCTTTTAAAACATAATCACAAACCAAAGACACATGGATATAATTAGTCCAAGGTACTGCAAGACCATGCCATCCTCAGCCTGTATGACCATGAAACCAGAAGAACTAGATGGTGCCCAGCTACCACTGTCAACCACTCAGAGGGGGATCAGTGCAGGAGACCCCACATAGAGTGGGAGAACAATGTGGAACAAAATTCAAAATCATTAAAAAAAAAAAAAAAAAAGACCAGATTTGCTGGTCTGATAGAAGTTGGTGAGATGCCTGAGACTATGGCCCTACCCACCCTTCAGGTCTGCAATTGAACTCACTCCTGTGGCTTCCAGCCCAACAACGTTGTTGTTACTATGTTCCCTCGAGTCAGACCTGACTCATAGAGACCTCTCTTTGGGTTTCTGAGGCGGTTTCACTACGGAAGTAGATTGCTCAATCTTCCAATGAGTGGCTGGTGGGTTTGTACCCCCAGCCTTCTGGTTAGCAGTCAAGTGCCTTAGGCACTAGGCTACCAGAACTTCTAGCCAAACAATAGACAGGCATATGGGTTGAACATTTACATCAGGTAGAAAACACTCCTTGGAACATCAATCCTGGGAGAACAGAAGGGCAGTGTTTCCACAGGGCTGCGGGGTGGAGGTGGGAGGGCCTGGGAGGGAAGGACACAGGGAAGAGGTAACTACGTAACTACGGGGAGGAAGTGGGAGGAGAGCTGTTACATCGTGGGGAATTGCAATCAATGCCAGGAGGCAAAATGCTTATGAAGCGCTGTATGGAAGATGAATTTGCCCTGTAAACTTTCACCTAAATCACAATAAAATTTTTAAATAGTAACAATCAGATGTCCCTCCTCTGCTCAAACTCCGGTGGCCTTTCACTTCATTTTTAAAAAAGAAAACTGTTCACCCAAGGCATGTACAGGGCATACATGCTCTCACTTGGTCACCTTCACCAGGCCCCCTCCAATTGCTCTAAAGGACTCGATGTAGCTTTGGGCAGCGTCTCTCTGCGGGGTCCCCAAAGCCCAGCTGGAGTTGGAGCTGGAGCCTTGCTGGAATTAGGCAGAAAGGCCCCCATGGCCCGCCATGCGCCTCGCGAACCCAGTTCGACCTCAACCCTCCGCAGCCAGGCACTCAAAACCCTCTCAATGTCGCCGTCCTGTGCCACTTCCTCGCCCCCTTCCGTTCCTCCCAGGTACCAGCTAGGTCCACCGCCTATGGGCTACCCAGAATATGTCTCCCTCAGGGACGCTCCGCGCGGCCCTGTACCCAACACCTGCCCCGAGAGCAGGGCTGCCGTACCCGAACGAGGATCAGGTGGTCGTCAGCCCACTGTGAGATCCGCGCCACCACATTGGGGGCCGTTCCGTCTCTGTCCCGCGGCGGCGAGGCTAGCGCCTCCGGCCGCCCCGCCATATTCTTCGCCTTCCTGCGAGCCTGCACCGCACTCGTCCAGCGGCAGGGGGCGCCGCATTTCTCCCGCGGCAGGGTCCGTTTCCCAGCAGCCTCGGGGTGGCTCGGCTATGTGCTGTGCAAGCCTTTCGTCTGCTGTGGCCAAACCTCCCGCCCCAGTGATCAGACATCTGAACCTTCAGCTTTTATGTAGGGTTTTTCTACAGCGCGGGTGATCTCTTTGGTGAGGGGATGGGGGCTGAAACGTTCTTGGCCTCTGCTTGTGGTGTGATTATCAGTTTGTGACATCAGCCACAGTTTCTGCATGTAACACTTGAGAAAGGAAACTGATATAGTCCATTCCTTCTGCCTGCTCCAACTTATATACGCAGATTTTTTTCTATTTGAGTCGTGCATTAAAGTTTTCAGATGTTGTAAACCCAATCTCTAAATATGCTTTAAATCTTTGAATTGTTAGTGGACAATATGTATGGAGCTGCCATATTAAAAAAAAAAAAAAAAAAATCAATATGTATAGAAACAAACAAAAATAAGGCCCAGAATAGCTCAGATAATATGGTGACATTTGTGTAAAAAATTATATGTGTATGTGGTGTGTATGTGTGTGTGTGTGGGGGGGCATGTATGTAGCCAAGATCACCTAACCAAGAGGTGATGAGTTAGTTGGAATCTTATGTTGAGATTCAGTTCAACCAGTTGGCAAAGTCTATGCTCTCAACCACAACGCTGTGTCCTATAAAGGCAACCAGCTATATCATAAACATGCCTATAAATTTCTAGTGAGGGTGGAAAGCAAATGATATTGCAGAAAACCCAATGAAAGACACACCATAACCAAAATCTTCCATTGCTATTTCAAATAGAAACAAACCCCTTCATGCTACCAGATTTTACATAGCTTTACACATACAAATACCATCATGATAATGGAGAAAATACTGAATTTGTCAAGAATTTCATTTTACTTGGATTCACATGGAAGAAGCACACAAGAAACAAATGACATATTTATTGCATTGGGTAAATATGCTGCAACAGACCTCTGTGAAGTATTAAAAAGTAGAGATGTCATTTTGAAGACTAAGGTGTGCCTGACCCAAGCCGTGGTATTTTCAATCGCCTCATACGCATGCAAAATCTGGATAATGAATAAGGAAGAAGAATTGAATTATGGCATTAGCAAAGAATACTGAATGGACTGCCAGAAGAACGAATAAATCTGCTTTGGAAGAAGTACAGCCAAAATGCTCCTTAGATGCAAGGAGGGCAAGGCTTCTTTGGACTTGTTATCAGGAGAGTCCAGTCCCTGGAGAAAGACATCATGCTTGGTAAAGTAGATAGTTAGTGTAAAAAAGGAAGACCTTAATGAAATGGATTAACACAGTGGCTGCAACAATGGGCTCAAAGATAGCAATGGATGTAAGGATGGCTCAGGACAGGGTAGTGCTTTGCTTTGTTGTACATAGGGTTGCAGTGAGTAAGAACTGACTCAGCACCTAACAACAACAATAGTCAATACATGGAAAAAAGATTTCTTCATAGACAATCATTTGCCTAATTTTGCTCCTTTTGTTTTTTTAGTGTCCTTATTAATTCTAATCTCCTTTATGGTATCACTTTCACTGTCTTAGTTGAAGACAGCTTTTCCTATTTTCCATCTCAAGATATTTTCTCTATACCCCAGAGATCAGCCACCTGGGTGTCTCTAAGTCCTCCAGATTTCTCCAAGTGCCTTTTCCAATAATACTTAAAGATATTTGAGCTTTGTCCCACTACTTATTGATGCAAAACGTCCAGTTCCTGCCCCAGGACACCTGCAGATTTAATCCCAGATTTGACATTGTCCTCCAGGTAAGAAAGAGTGGGGGGACAGAAAATCAGAGATAGGAGATTGCCCTTTCTGGCCTTGCAAATTAAATTACTATGTAAATTAAGTGACAGGAGCTCTGGTGGCATAGTACCCAAGGCATTTGACTGCTAACCAGAAGGCTGATGGTTCAAACCCACCAGCCACTCTTTGGAAGATTGGGCAATCTACTTTGTAGTGATATTGCCTCAGAAACCCAAGGAGGGGTCACTATGAGTCGGATCCAACTCGATAGCAGCAAGTTAAATTAAGTGACTGTGGTATACCAAAGGTTTTGATTACTATTCAAAAAGGGTGCATAAAACCACCCAACAAAATTGAATGGTTTGCTAATATAAGCAGCCAACCTCACAAAGATTTTGAGAGAGAGAGAAAGAGAAAAGAAGGGAGCTCTGGTGAGGTAGTGCCTAAAGCATTTGACTGCTAACCAGAGGGCTGGCAGTTCAAACCCACCAGCCAATCCTTGGAAGACTGGGCAATCTACTTTGTAGTGATACTGTCTCAGAAACCCAAGGAGGGGTCGCTATGAGTCAGATCAGACTCCACGGCAGTGTAACACAAGTTGACACAAGATGGCGCAGCAGCACAAGAGCCAGGAATCATGAGACCCTTATGAGGTGACAGTGGTGAGCTTGCCCCCTCAGGGAGCAAGAAGAGAAAGCTGAGCATCTTTGGGCAGGAGGCTTACTGACAGAACAAGGTCCATCCTGGCACTTGTCTGTGGAAAAACTAATGAGCTGTAACATTTGACGGAGCAGGGCAGAGGCCCAGCCAAGTGGGGCTGACAGCAGAGGCCTAAACAGGGCCTAGCCTGCCTGGATTAGCTGAGAGAAAAAGCAGAGCGAAGGGCCACTGGCTAACATGGGCAGAAAAGAAGTTGACAACTATCCTGGTTGAACTCTGTCCTAATTGATAAAGCTTATCCTGATCCCAAATTATATCTAGTTATTTCCAAGTTGATCCCAATCCCAAGTTACAACACGTTACTTCTCCAATAAACTACTTAACTGTAGGTACAGTTCATGAGTTCTGTGAGACATTGCAGTGAATTACCAAACCCAAAGATGGGAGGAAGAGTAGTGAGGGGAGGAGGAGTGGTTGGTTTTAGAGAGGATGGAATGGTATAGCAGATTGGAGAATTTGAATGTTTGGGACATCTTTAACCTCCACTCTACAGGTACCAGCTTTGGGTTGATTCTTGTTAAAAGTATCATTCATTTAGCTACATATAGAGTTATTAGTCAATAAACAAACATAATAAATATATTAAAAATAAGAATTAGGTTTCTCCCTAATTAGTACAGCAAATCACAAATATGAAAATGGAGAAAACTAGAATATTGTGTTGAATTGAAAATGAATACTTGGAATCTCATAGTTTTCAACACATACAGAATTAAATATACATGGAAATATGTATGTATCTGTGGAGGCTACATATATTCCCTAGTTCTGTCCTAGTGTTTATGAATTTTATCAAAATAAAAAAATCATTAACAACAAAAGAAAAAATACATAAATAAAAGTTCTGCTTAGGATGGAGTTGCAAAGAATGTTTCTCCCACTCCAGAAATGAGAAAAAGTCAGAGAAACTACAAAACCACAATTATTTTCAACATATTAGGGAGCTGAATTTTAAAGACAGGACACATTAACTGTCTACTATGGCAGAGCACAGGAGCAACATCTTTAAAGCACAGATATTTTAAAAAGAAAACAAACGGGAGGGAGCGGAAAAAAAAAAGAAAACAAGAAAAAGAAAACAAACAAAAAGCTGTCAAACCAGAATTCTGTAGCCAGTGAAAATTGAAGGCAAAATAAGGACTTTTTCAGAAAAACTAAAAAGCTGAGACAACTAATTCCCAACAGAGCAACAGTAAAAGAAATGTTAAATAAAATCCATCAGGCAGGAGGAAAATGACACCAAAATGAAATCTGGAACTACATAAAAGAATGAAGAGCAAAGGAAATGCTGGTGATATATATATGTATATATATATAATTTTACATATACCAATATCAATAAGGTTGGTAATTGTATATATTTTTTTCCCAAAAAATTGTGCTAAAGATAATTGACCGTCTAAAACAAAAATAGAAGGGTATGACATATGCAAAGATAAAGTATATGGCAAAAATAGCAAAGAATGGGAAGGAGGAATCGGAAATACATTGTTGTAAGATTCTTACAATATACATGAAGTGATGTAAAATGATTTCAAGTGAGATTGCAGTAAGTTAAAGACATATATGATAAGTCCTAGTGCAATCACTAAAAATATTTTTTAAAGAAATATAAACTACTACCAGGGAAGGAAATGAGAGAAAAGGTAAAAAGAAAAGAAGAAAGGAGGAGGGGGAAAAAATAGGTTTAAAACAAAACAAAACTTAGGAGTGCGGCAGGGCACCTGGACTCTGTTTCTGCTGACCAGCAGTCAATTGGAAGCAGGGTACCAGATCCTGGTACTAGTTTCTGCCTGCCCAGAAGGTAACTAATGGCAAGGCACTTGATCTCAGAAGAGTTCCTGTTGATCCAGAATATGTCTGGGGCAAGGTATCTGAACCTGGAAAAAGTTTCTGCCAGCCCACATGGTGGTGGGAGCAAGGTGCCTGGTTTCAGAAGGAATTTCTGCCTGCTCAAAATGTGACTGGAGATTGATAAGGTATGTGGTCTCAGAAAAAGTTTCTGCCAATCCCAAAGAAGAGCTTAATGTAGCACACCTGGACCCAGGAAAAGTTCCTTCCAGCCCAAAATGCTACTGGGAGCAGGGCGGCTGATCTTGGAGCTCTTTCCTATCTACCCAGAAGGCAACTGGGGGTAGAGCACTTGATTTCAGACTAGTTCCTGCTGATCCAGACAGTGTCTGTGGGCAGGGCACCTGGACCCAGAAAAAGTTTTGGCCAGTCCAAAAGATGATTGGGAGCAATGCACCTGGTTCCATAGGGAGTTTCAGCCAGCTCAAAAAGCAGCTGTTGGCAGGGCTTGTAGAACCAGACAAAATTCTTGCTGTCTCAAAAGGTAACTGGGAGCAAGCAGTGTCCCATTTCCTAAAAGAGTTCCTGCCGTCCCAAAAGCCAGCTGAATGTGAGGTATGTGGTCTCGGGAAAAATTACTACTGATCCAAAAGGTGGCTGG